GTGAGCTTAGTATGTCTTCCCAAACACACACGCTCTCCCCTCCTCTCTCTCTCTCTCTCTCTCTCTCTCTCTCGCTTTCCTCCCTTTCCATCCCTCTCTCCACTCACACATACTCTTCACATCTCTTTTTATATTACGATATGTTATACTTATCTGGCATTCAGTCTCTCTCTACCAAACATAACATGAATTCTAATTATTCCATAAAATCCTATCTCTTCTGACATTCTTTTCAATTCTTTGCCAGAATTTAATATAAAAAAGTTTTTTGGTTTTATTTTCTATCGACTTTAATTTGATTGACTAATTCATTGTTCTTATGGTCTGTTTGTTTGACTTCTTGTTTGATGTGGAATCAGAACGAAGTGTCGAACAGCGGAAACCCTTCTGTCCACAGTTGTGGGGCCGCAGCCACCGCCACCTCCACGTCCGCCAGTGCTGTACAAGTGTTTCAACAAAGCGCTACAACTAATCCTAATTTATTGTCTTTTCCATATCAACAATCCATTGCTTCGGAAAATTGTAAGTTTTTATTTCACAATTTTATTTACACAAAAAACAATTCCTTTTCTTTCAAACTTCTTTTGCCATTCGTTGTGCCCTTAATTCTAACAATACATACACTCTATAGTATAGCACACAGAATGAGAGAGAGAGAGAGAGAGAGAGAGAGAGAGAGAGAGAGGAGGGGAGAGCGTGTGTGTTTGGGAAGACATACTAAGCTCACAGAAATAGGTTTGAGTCCCATTCGCATCCTTTTGGCGTTTTGGCATTCATTATCACAGGCTGTCGCCAGGATTTGTTCAGCCATTGGCGACGTTAGATGGTATGACACATGAGATGAGGGCCCGGTCTTCGTCGCTGGGGTCGGAGTGGATGATTCACTCCATGCGCGACCGGCTTCAGTGCCCGGAGGGGCTGTTTTGTGTCGTTTAGTGCGTCGACAGGACTTGAGATAAGTTCTGATACGCTTTCGGGCCCTTTCGCTGAACTCAGGGAACTGTCGGCCGCAGCTCTCGATAATAGCCTGTATTTTCTCTTTGGGCTGACGAGAGATGGGAACCATTCGGTCTAGATTTTCGTCAACGAATAGCCGCACAAACATCTAATGTAATGACAATTTAATGGTCAGGAATGAGCGCAACAACGAAATAAAAAATTGTTCACTAATATGTGTTTTTGTCTCAAATTTAGTATTACATTGAAAGCCTTGAGTCTCTCGGGATCGTAAGCGCCACTGCTTTGCTCCGACAATAGTCTGTCGCCGAGCGGCAGATCATTATCCTCGTCGTCGTCCTCCTCTTCGTCTTCGTTTAAGACTCTCTTTCCGTTAGGATTCCAACGATCGGCGAATCCGTGAGCGCTATGGCTATGGCTGTGGTTATGGTTATGGCTGTGATTGCCTTTACAGCCGGCGCTACCATTCGCTAAACCATTGATTACAGCGGTCTTTGAATTGCTGTGTTTTGCGGCTCTTTTTGAGCACATATTCAACGGCTGATCAAAACACATAGCGGTCTCACACTTGACACGAGTCATGTCCAGCGGAACCGCTTCTTCGTCGTCAAACTCTTCGTCGACAACTTCTTCTTCTTCGTCGTCGTCGTCATCGTCTCCAGTGATTTCTTCGCAGACGGCGTCTGAACAGAGTTTGAGATTAAATGAAAGAAAATTATTCATTAGCGGCGAGTCTGGAGTTACACAACATTTTGCGATTAGCGAAAAAGGTATAGACAGTGAATGAGAGAGAAATGAAAGCAAAACATGATTTGAAGGAAAGGAGAGATGAGAGCAGAGGGTATTAGAGAGTTGAGGATAGAGTGAAGGGAATGGCAGGCAGTGGTGTTGTGTGCGTTAGTGTACTGTATTATTTACCGTCACTGTTTGCAGCAGTGGTCTGATCCCCATTGTGTGCACTAATGTCAGCATCAGATGCGCCGGTCTCTGTCTCCGATATCATTTCCTATTGAGAGTAAAGGCATAGACAGTCACTAAACACAAATCCATACCAAACACAGCCTAAGAGATACCAATTGGATAGCACTGACGATACAAACTACAGCCTCTGTCTCTGCAGAGTGTTTGGTTGTGTAGCGAAGAGTACACTCTTGTGAATCACAAGAGAAATGTTTGGATCAAATGCAAGACTCATCTGCACTAAGACTAAAGTAGAGGCCATCACTTTTGAAACAGCACTCAATGTCTCTAATGGCTGTACTCTAAGAATCCAATGTCTCCTAATGTGTGTGCGGACTCCTAACTGGCATTTCACTCAATAATTATTGCACTTTCATTTGGGATGCGATTCGTAAACCTTTCAAACCGTCAAAAATCAATTGGTTTTGGGCTTTAAATGATTCGCTTCACCCAAAAGATTATTATTTGCGGTCCTCTCTAACCATCACAACAATATGTTTCGCTAAATTCCTGTTTTCCAGAGCCTCCGACACTAACACTAACCCCAATGCTATGCTATGAGTGGCCAAACAGTACAACTCACAAACAGACACAGCATTTCAATCAAATGCACTAAAAAACTTTTTTTCAGCCGTCAATTAATCAGACAATTTTCGCACTGATTTTCATCAGCGAAACAAAACTAATTAGTTTTAAAACAACTAATATTTTCAAACCTAAGTCTAAATTCTTGTCTTATAAACACTCGAATGGATAGAAAAATGTGTGTTTAGTGTCGACTGAGGAGCTGATGGAGGAAAGAGATGTGTATATATCGAGAGTAAAACGTAATACTTTTAGTATTAGTGGAAATGCCTGAATATAAGGCAATATAAGTTGTGTATCAAAGTGTTCACAATATTTTCCACGACTAGAATTCTGTGTTCATTCAATGCCTAAGCTTTCAGTACATGAGACACACACTGTTGGGAACGCTGGCAGTGGTGGCTGTGTGTGAGTGAGTGTGTGTGCGGGCACTACACTATAGCACTACACTATAACGCTATACACTATACACACACTAACTATACTGTGGATCAAATGAATTCAATCCCATCTCTATGGCAACTAAAGCAGCATTTAGTTTAGGGCACAGAATGTGGAGCAAAGCACGAGGCGATGCACAGGCCTTACACACACTGACAACCTATAACTGTATGTTAAAAACTTGTTGATTCTTTCAGAGCTTTTGTTCATTACGTCTTCTTCGCACAAAACCTTTTCAAATGTGTCTTCAAAGACAATATTCTCCACAATTATACACATTTTCCTATGACTTTCATCTCAAACACACAACACTTATATTTACTTATATTTCTATATCGGGAACAGAAAAACCGTAACATTAATTGGGTTGTGATGTTAGAGAGCGAGAGCTTGTGTTAACTCTTTGAATATATGAGAGATAGAGAGCGAGAGTATATGATGGCCACCAACGAGAGAGTATGTGTGGGAGAGAGTGAGAGAGCTGGTGGTTGAGTACTTACATCGTCGACCTCCTGGCCATCAAAGCCAAGACAGGCTGCTGTCGGCGCAATAAGTGAGTCTCCCATCACATTATAAACAAAGCCCGCATTTCTCATACGCTTTATTGTTGTCGTTAACGGCAATGAGTAGTCGATATCGAGTGCTGTCTTTGGCTGACCATCAGCTGAATGGTCGTGAAGGAGACTCTTTCGCAGAGCACTGCAGATGCAATGGTATAGGGATTATAAAAAGACACTAATTATTATCTGTCGTTATTTCGTTGGCTACAGAGAAGTGCACTAAATAGAGGAGCGCTCGTTAATACCAATGCTATATATTATACCTTTTAGAGTTGGTTTTACTGCCGGCGCTATTGAGTCCATTAGCGCATCCATTGGTGCTCTGGAGATGCATTCGCTTCTGGCAGTCGGAACAGGACATCAAAAAACGAGTCACTGCTTCCCGGGGTAGGAATGCGTACATCTCTGCCACCTGTCATATACACACCATCAGCCCATATATACCATACATACATACATCAGTCAATATTCACACACCAACTGAGCATTTCATTTACATCCACATCGATATTACATTATTTATAACACAAACCCACGGATCGGAACTATTGCTTCAATTTCTCAATTTTATTAAATTCTCTCTAAATCATTGATTAGAGACTCTGTGTTCAATATAGTGATGAGGGGACGGGTAGTGAGGGAGAGGCTGTCCTGACTTATTGCTAATATATCTGTCATTTCATTACAGAAACTAATTTTGTTAAATAATATTAAACTGGAAAAACAAAAATCCCATTTAAATATTATATCAAATAAAATTTTAAACATATATATTAACTAAAACTTCTTTTAAAGAAAATTTCAATTAATATAAGAATATTCTGTATATAAGAAGTGTGCGAAAGGAATGGATTGAAAACATACCGCTTTATACGTGCGCTTCTGTCCTGCGTGTCGACCTAATTATTGTTCAATCAGTTATCACAATATAATCACAGATTTGAGTCACATTGTGGAGGATATACCTGATCTGCCGTCCATTTCCACGTGAACATTGTATATAATGTCGAAGAAGTTCTCCACCACTTTATTATTAGTACATTCGGTGTGTATTATACCACATATAAGAGAAATATACAATTTATACAACTTTAAGAATTTGAATAATTTTTGTTAAGAATATTCTTAGCGTTCACTAATAGGAATACATATATAGAAAAGCATAAAGATTGTGCTCAAAATTATAAAAATACAGTAAAGCTTATGTTAAATACATATAAAATTATTAATTCTAAAGAATTTCTGTATATGTATTATACAACTGCTTAGTATTTTAAGTGTAATATATTTTAGTGCACTATAAAGATAATGGTCAAAAGATAAAAAATAATTTCTAAACTTTTGTGAAAACATAAAAATCTGAAAACACCCGTAGATTGGTATTGATTTAAGGGTTAGATGAGAGTCTAATACACCTAAAAGTTTTTAATATCCGTAGAGTTTTACGCAATCAATAACTCAAAGCAATCATCCAAATGCTCTTTTGGGGCGATTTAAAGCAAATATATTCATTAAAAAAGATCCCATCCCTTGACCATCAACTCTATGGTGTGTTTTATGTGATGAATAAATTGTAAAATAATGAGATAAAATAGTGTAACGCATTGTACACTGTACTGTACCTGCTACTTTCTTGTATATTGTCTCGTCTCGTTCTGATCCCTATTTCAAACAAAAAGAGATGTCATTAATATATAAATATAAAACAAAAAATTATTGTAAAGTTAGCATAAAAATAGTATTAGAAATAAATGTAAATTAGTTAAGAAACAATTGTAAAACACGTGAATCGAGAATTTTTCACTTATTTTTCATAATTAGGTTTGGAGTGAAAAATGTTTGCAAAAAACAGAGCAACAAATATTTGAATACTAATGAAATTGTATTCAAACGCAGAGAAACGCGTATAGATTTCGAGTAAATTCATTAAAATTTTAAAATGAAATATAAATCCGGAACAAAATTTTTTGTTATTTCTCTCGATTTTTTTAGTTGTATTTATGTTTCGGTTGCGAACCTTTCCATTCAAATATAATATGTTGTGTTTAGAGCAGAGATTTGCGGAGCGAATAGATAGAGGAATACCTACTTATAGTTAATGGAACTCACATTTTGCGAGAGAAAAATCTTGAACTTTTATTTCGGTACAAAACATAAGAGTTAGGAGTTTTTGGCTCTACTTTTATACAGAATTATGATGTGTATTGAGTAGTGAGTGCTCTGCTATCTTGCATGAGGGACCGCATCATCAGCCGCCGCACCGATCGATACACACATACACACAGTGTGTGTGAGTGAGTGTTGTTCTTGAATTGGGCTCTCGCTATGCCTTCCCTGGCATGAGATTAGTTGCACACAGAATGCCAGTCAATGCTATGTTCTCTCCGTGTGTTAGTGTCTATGTATGTGATGTGTGTGTGTGCTCTGCAAAGTGTATGGGTTTGGGCTTCTCTTCACAACGACTACAACATGAAAGCAGAAAAGATCGGATGGGGAGAGGAATGGGGGGTCGGGTGGAGACGAACGCGAGGTTGTGTTAAATCTCTTTTCGTGCTCTGTCCTGATGGTGGAAACAATTTGATCGTATACTACACTACACACACTGCCAGCGCTGTTAGTGTGTGCACAGGCATTGTATAGCACATACCCAACCACTGCCTTTCGTGCTCAGCAATGAGTTAGTGAGTGAGTAGGAGAGGGAGGGAGAGAGAGGAAAGGGATGGAGAGATGGAAATGCGATTCAATACAATATATCTAACATTTGGTGCAATGCAGTAATGCCTCGGATTCACATCAAACTTAGGTCTATGTGAGGCCTGAATAACAAACTAAAGTTTTTTCGTCGAAAAAATAAGATCAGAAAAGTAGAGAAAAGGCATTAAATGTGTGCAACAGAACCAACAGAACCACAGATGAAAGAACTGCTGCAAGAGATGGGGAGAGAGAACTGACGAGGGGCCTGCAAGTTTTTGCCGATTCACAATTAAATTTAATTCAGTTGTATGTGTAGATTGGGTGGGAATAAAAAATATAAATTAAATATCTCGGGCTGATAGCCACAAACGGCCGAGATATGACCATTTTAGTGATTGCGCCCATACAGCATAAAGCAATGCAGTACTGGTGATTAGCCCAAGCACTGTGTGAAACACCTTTTTTCAATGCTATACGCCGTATAGACGGGATCACTAGAATGGTCATATCTCGGTCGTTTGTGGCTATCAGCCCGAGATATAGAATTTATATTTTTTATTTGGTCCAATCTACATGTACAACTGAATTAAATTTAATTGTGAATCGGCAAAAACTTGCAGGCCCCTCGTGAGAGGTGATAGCGCTGTACGAAAGACTACTTTCATATTAATGCATATAAAACACAACAAGAAATAAAAAAGTAGAGACCATATAAAGCATACATAAAGTGAATATAAGTTATGATTTAGAGTATATGTTACTGAATATGAAAGTTATTATAGTGTAGTAAATATAATGCGTTTCTCTGGCATATAGTTTGTGTAGTTTTGTTTTTAAGCCCACATCAGAAGGTATTTCACTAATACTGTAAGTGAACGACATATTCGCCAGTATTCCCACAAGTGCTCTGTGAATGTGCATCAGAATATATGCCTGGATATACAGCATAGTACAGTACAGAATATATATACCATGTTCAATATACTGTGCACCATTCATGTACAGCCTGCATGTATAGCCTGCCTGTGCTCTATAGAGTACAACCAACAGCCCTCACAACCTTTACAGTGCACTTTTGCATTGAGTCCATGCATAACAAAACCCTCGCAATACTATTACTGGTAATAACTGGTGCGATGGAAGTGCGGGCCCACTGATGATGAGCCACACAAATGAGACTACATGTGCGCCCGCACTCACACACACTCCTAAACCATTACCTCCACAGTAATTGTATTGAAATTTGAACATTCATTCACTCCATTCAGACCAGACTTTCATTTGTTAATTCATAAAATAAAACCAATGGTTTCAACAAATTATGTTAAATAATTGTTGTATTAAATAAATAATAAACAAACACTTATTTTCTCACTCATTCTTCAAGTCTACCGTCAAAACGGAAACTTATTTCGTTTCAAAACCCAATTCGTTTCACTTTTGACTTTAATATCGTGTATATATAGATGTAATGATAATTCAAATACAAAAGAAATGTTACATAATTTGAAATAAAATAATAATAATGTACTTCAGTAAACATTTTCTTGTTTTATAAAACACATATTCGCTGTAAGAATCATAAAGAATTGCACTACAAATACGAAAATAGAAATCCAAGAATTTTTTCAATTTTATTTATGAACAGAGCATAGAGTATATGATGGAAGAGAGAGAGAAAAGCATAAATTTTAGTAAAAAGGATTTTGAATACAAAAAAAATAGTGAAATACCTTCTGATGTGGGCTTAAAAACAAAACTACACAAACTATATGCCAGAGAAACGCATTATATTTACTACACTATAATAACTTTCATATTCAGTAACATATACTCTAAATCATAACTTTATGTATGCTTTATATGGTCTCTACTTTTTTATTTCTTGTTGTGTTTTATATGCATTAATATGAAAGTAGTCTTTCGTACAGCGCTATCACCTCTCAGTTCTCTCTCCCCATCTCTTGCAGCAGTTCTTTCATCTGTGGTTCTGTTGCACACATTTAATGCCTTTTCTCTACTTTTCTGATCTTATTTTCTTCGACGAAAAAACTTTAGTTTGTTATTCAGGCCTCACATAGACCTAAGTTTGATGTGAATCCGAGGCATTACTGCATTGCACCAAATGTTAGATATATTGTATTGAATCGCATTTCCATCTCTCCA